ATAGAGCCCATTGTTCAAATTTGTCAAGGTCTTTTTGGATTCTCAGCTTGTCTTCTGGGGTTTTGGATAGTCCTGCCAGTTTAGTGTCATCCGCAAATTTGATGAGTTCCCCTTCAATCCCTCATCTAAGTCATTTATGAAGATATTGAAGAGTACTGGGCCTAAAACAGAGCCTTGTGGTACCCCACTGCTTACTTTTCTCCATGTGATGTAGTGCCATTGAGGACTACTCGCTGAGTACGGTTTGCCAGCCAGCCACAGATCCATCTGGTAGTGATATTGTCTATTATTCCACCTTTTTCTAGCTTACCAAGGAATAGGTTGTGGTCTACGTTATCAAATACCTTACTGAAATCTAAGTATACACTGTCCACAGCATTTCACTGGTCTACTAGTTTAGTCACTTTATCAAAGAATGAAATAAGATTGGTTTGGCATGATGTTTTTAACAAACCCATGCTGGCTACCAGATATAACTTTGTTTGCTTCTAGTTGTTCGCAGATGTTCTTTGATTATCTTTTCTAGGATCTTCCCAGGTATTGATGTTAAACTGATTGGTCTGTAGTTTCCTGGATCCATTTTCCCCCCTTTCTAATGTGACTGTTTTGTTTCTCCTCCTCTCCCATGTTTGTGTTCTACAGGTGGACCTGTCATTTTTCTAGGGGGGCTGTGTGTCAGGTCTCCAAACATATTCCTGCTCTTGTAAACAATATTTGTACCTGCTTGTGTAACCATTATTTGGGGCCTGCCATTCTGTTGGGAGGAGGGATGTCTTGGGGGTGCTTTGCACTGTCTTGCTATTATGCCCCTCCCCCATCCCCTCTTTATCTAGGAGACGGTTGGCACTTGGAGCCAGAAGGAAATTAAAGAAAGAGACCTTGAAGAGCACGCCAACAAAGCCAGTTTCCAAAACACTATGCCACCTGTGGATTGGCTGGAATTCAAATGGACCCTGGGGGGAGGAATAAAAATATTGCTTTTAATATACTGCTTGCACGGGTTTTTCTCCTTGTTTTCCCTGCTATCACTAGCCCCTAATAAAGGTTCCTTTTGAGACAATGCCTATTTCAAGAGTTCTGCTTTCTTGCGTGGCTCGGTTGAGGTAGGTCCTTACATGGTGATTACATGACACTGAAATACTGCATCAAATATATGTCAGTTGCCAAATATCCAAATTTTGATCATGTGATTACATGGATGCTGCAATGGTCATGTGAAAAATGGTCATAAGTCACTTTTTTCAGTGCAGTTTAAACTTTGAATGGCTGCTAAACAAATGCTTGTAAATGAAGAATTACCTGTAAATGGGATTACAAAAATATACCTAGTGATTATATCTGAACTACATTGCTATAAACACTCAATATGCATTTGGAATTTGGAATTTCAAGCAATCCAAATATGGTAACAAGACTACTCAAAGAGTATAATACTGATTCTTTTCTTGTAATGAAGACTCCCTATTTATTTCTCCACATATGATAAAATACTTGACTCTGGCTTTGCAGGCCTTAATAATGAAGAAGTATTTGTATGAAATGCATGAGCATTTGTTTATTGCATCTTGATCAAAATGCATTGTTCATTTAAAGTTGTATAATATGCATATTAAGTTGATGATTTCTTATATATTCTACATCTTTTAACGGCAGGTGCTTTGAATATAGCTTAACCCTTTTAATTAAAAAGAATACAATGAATTCATGTATATAACACTCAGGTAAATTGCTAATTAGCTCTGGTATTGCCTACAACTCCGGTATTGCAGTGGTAATTTGTCCCCTTGAAAAAACAAAATGAAACTTGACCAACAATATAAAATGAATACCATGTTTGAATGTTTATTTCTAAACATTTAAGTGTAAGAAATATAACCATTTTTGTACAAAAATACCTGAAAGATAACAATTAAGTTCACTAGTCAAAAAAAGAAAAAAAAGCTACTTACAATATGAAGCAATGCATATTGAATAAGAGATTGTGTCCCTTAAGTTAATAATTTTTGCATTCCCTGATAACTTTTATTTCATTTTACAGTCACAATAAAATCTTGTGGTATGATAATATAGATTATGCTAAGCAAGTCTTGCCATTAGAAAGGTGCATTGATTGGTCAAAATGGTCAGGTACTTAGTGCAGAAAAGTTAAGACAAAACAATCTAAAAATAGAGGCACATTTTTCTTCAAGATTAATTCAACAAATAAAAAGCGTACTTTTAAAAAACAGAAATAATATAATTTATCTTTTTTTTAAAAAAATTACCAAATGGTTTGGCATTTTCCTTCTTAACATATTACAAGATGCTGTATGACATATTTTATTTACAAAACAATCACAGGCAAAAATAAAATAAAATCAACAGGCTCCAGAAACAACCCTGAGCATCCCTCTTTACATTCATGTCATTTAAATATCTTTTTTAAAAAAAATCAAATTTCCTTCAACCCTTGTTTTTTAAGTTGTCAGACAGCTGTATCTGTTGGTAATGTTCAAGATGGGTTAGATTGTACATTTATAACAAAGGGAAGAAATGCAATAATTACGTGCTCAAGTAATTCTGAAGATAGTACAAAACAGTCTGCCCTGTTCATTCAAATTTATAATAAGAACTTATATTGTTAAATTCAATTAAATGCAATTTTTATAACATGAAGCTATTGCTGGGAAACTGAACAATTGGAGCTACTGAAAAATAACTTAATTTCTAATAAACTCAAACAACTTCACTTAAATTTGAAAATCAGTATTTTGAAAATAATTCTGTTTAAGTCCATTTTACGAATATGCAATATTAAGTCAACTTATATTAGTTTACCTTATACCTGTTTACAAAATATATAAAATGTAATAATCAAAGTATTTCTAATAAAAATCAAGTTTCTTCATTGTATATATAGAAATTTCACGGGAAAACCCCTATTAGATTTGTTCTGTAAATTAAAATACAGTATTTTTTCATCTGCTATGGAAACTCAAGCTGGTTATATTGTTTTAGGTTACTCTCAACAGTATATGATTACCTTGTGAATAAATAACTGTACTCAATTTCAACTGTTCAGATTGCTATTGGTTACATGCAATAATTAATATTAATTAATATCAATATAAAGGTTCAAGACTCCTGGACCAACAGAGAAATAATTCTGAACATTCATAGGCTGGAACATACTTCTTGATACATAAAACACTTTCTATATGCACTTGACCATCATCCCCAAAACACGATAATCATAATCATTGACCTTATTTAAGTGCAAGCTATCAATGAAAGAAGTATTACTATGTAAACATTGAAAAGCTGAAATATTAACAAGCATTGCTTTGATTCCATTGTTATTAAATTCTCCACATGGTATATCTCCATGCACAGAGTTATGCAGAATTAGAAAACATAAGCCAATATCAGTACATTGACAGATATCTCACTTTAGTGGCATATATTTTTATTAGCCACATTTACAGTTAGAAAGCTGTGCCTTTCAAAAGAAATAAAGCATTATTTATTCTGCATAGCTATGTACAAATTAACATTCTAAGTGTATGGTTTTAGGAAGCCTAAACCAGGACTCATAGTAGGATGATGAACTAGGACTTGAAGCAAGTTTTTTCTTGTTACAGATACTGGCATGTAAATTTTAGTGCATAAATCCAAAGAATCAATTGCCTAAACTGTCAATGGCATGTCCTTTAGTGGCGGAGACAGCTGAGCATATAATTTCCAAATAAAAATGATTTATCCAGTTATTGCACTGCTGCATGTGTATTGCTCTCTTTCACAGCTAGACTGAAATAGATAGAGAGAATGTGAAGCAGTGCCTGAGGGATGATTTCCACAGTTTTGAACAAACTCACAGTGTAAGTTTTGGCAATCCAGCAGCATGTAATCATACTGCATTTCTCACATTTACTTCACTGAAAATCATATTTATCATGTCATCATATAGGAAAAGTATATCTATGCTGATGGAAGATTCAACATCTAGCTATAATTAAACGATTGAGAATGTTATATGAACACTTCTTCTTTGCTTTCACTTTTGATTCTATTTATAATTTGTGTAACACCAAAAATAATATTTTAATTAAGCAAAGAAACATAAAATCAGAATTGTGCTTTGGTTATTAGAAAATACACATCCAGACAAAAAATAATTGGAAGGAACATGCAAACTTTACAAAGCACTCTTAAATTCCTAACCATGGTTAGAAGGCTAGGCAGTGTTATATGTGCAATGGAGCTATATCATACATTCTGAAGAGTGAAGGAAATAATGCTAATAATAGCAAACACTGATTTGTTTTATACCAAGTAGACTACATAAATGACAATCTATTCCCTCCCATCAAAACATAAAAAGAAAAAAGCCAGATGATTCCAAATACATATATTATCATTCAACACTAAACTGGCTACTGATAGTGGATTTTCCCATGGCATATGTGCAGAAAGAGGACCTCCAGCAGATTGGGAAGGAGGGAGACAATCGAAACAATTCAAAACATCTGTGCATAGAAGCAGAGTCTTCTTTCAGACACATGGTCATTATATTAAAAAGCATACACTAGTGGGATATTTTTCCTTCCCAGAATTGTCTCCATGTTGTTTCTTCAGCATAAATGGTGGAACATTTCATTTCAAAAGGGAGAAGCTATTTTTTGACTTTTAAATTCTAATTACACTGAAGCAAATTACTCAATATATAATTTGGAACACCCAAATCAGGCATCAATTTAAAAACTATCATTCAATATAGGCTAAATATAATTTTCAAAAGGAGTGCAAAAAAATTGAAAGAGAGAGGGAGGGAGAAAGGAATATAAAGAAAGCAAACAATAAAAAAAAGAAAATATTCATTTAAATTGTCAAGATTAATCCAGGGTAAGAGTTCATTTCAATAATTTTGCTTCAAAAACCTGACACTGTTATGTGGCAAGCCAAGGGACAATTTCCAGTTTTGTTTAGTGTTTTTACATAACTTTCCCCAGTTTGGGAGGGGGAGGGGAAGTGTTGCTAAGACACTCAGCAGAAATCAGGCATAGGATTTAGACAAAAGAGCCAAATCTTGGATTATTGGCATCAGTTCAAGCATCCCTTTCCAAGTCCCCTAATTTTGATGATACACTTTGTTCCTCAAAAGCAATTACAAGATGGCTTAATGTCCCAGGCTCAACTTTCTTCAATAATACTTTTCTTTCGTCTCCAGTCTTGGACAAACCAGTCATCACCATAGACTGGCACAGAGGTCACAAGGCCACCCGGATGCAGTGATGTTTGAGTTTACAAGGCAAAACTCCCTTGTTTAATTGATAGAATTCAACAAGCTGTATTAGGTCAGTGAATTTGGTGCTGCCATCATCTAGACTGAAAAATATCTGTCCGTCATCTTCACACTTGAAAAATGAAAATGAAACAAAAATAAAATACTAAAGACAGAAAACAAATTATTCAAAAAGGAATGTTAAAATATCTCAACCAGTATGTGTATTCCCCTATTCATTTCATTACCTTTACCTCCTAGCTTTTTTCTTTCCTGCATAGTGCAGGCCCTGAAACTACATGAATTCCACAATTCTAAGATTTCTGTAGAATTACAATTAAGTCAAAGAAATCAGATTAGAGTTCTCAGTTAAGGCACAAATGACCAGGCTCAATTTGCCCTACTTTGAACACATTGTGCAAAGACTTATGCAAATTCCAAATCCTTTTTTGAATTGTGATGAAAAAATTCAACCTCAATCTCATCAGCCACCAGCATAATTGTCTAGAGAAGATACTTATGCTGGGAAAGGTGGAAGGAAAGAGAAGTAGAGCAGAGTTCCCCAATCTTTCTGGGTTGCCGCCCCAAAGGGGGGGAGGGGAAAAAGGGGATGGGTCTGGGGGGAAGATGCATGTGCACATGCATGTACGCACACAATCACCTGTTGCTCGCACAAGAGGAGCCGAGAGCACCTATGATGCTTGTGTGAGGCTCTGAGTGTTCACACGAATGAAGCTGCAAGTGCCCACAACACTCATGTGAGTGGGGCTGTGCGCAACCATGGGTGTACCAGCCAGCCACTCATATGGCCCAGTTGCGCATAGGCCATGGACAGTGGGGATCCCTGAAGTAGAGGATGAACAGCAGCCAGGTAATTGAACTCAGTTACAGCAACAGTGGGTGCCCACTTGGAAGACCTGAAGAACCGCATTAGGAATAGATCATCATGGAGAAAATCCATTTGTGCGATCACTGAGAGTTGACACTAAGTTGATTTCACAAAATCAATTAAAATGATTTCTTTTCAAAGTATTAACAGGTTAAGCAACTTAAGATCAATCAGTTCCAGTAAAGGGCCATCAATGTAGCATTTAAAGTTAAGAAATAAAGGAATGTACAGAAAGTCTACATTCCCTGTTAAAATGCCATGTTTTTGAGATGTAACAAAGATCAAATGAAGATAAATCACTCCATAATTATTTCCATCTTTAATATACCATATAAACTGTGCAATTCAATTGAAAAACAAACTGAAGCAATCTGAGGGGGAAATTAACAATAAAAAACTTACAATAATGAGGTTGCATACGTAAGTGTATATACCCTTAAATTAATACTTTGCTGAAGCACTTTTTATGACACATTCAGTCTTTTGGGAAAGGAGCCAATGAGCATGGCACATCTTGCCTTGGGAATCTTTGCCCAGGGTTCCTTGCAAAAGCACTCCAAAACCGTCAGATTGGAAAGGGATCTTCTGTGCTCAGATTTCTTCAGGTCACCCCACAGATTTTCAATTGGATTCAGGTCCGGGCTCTTGCTGGGCTATTCCAAAACTTTGATCTTCTGGTGAAGTTGTTATACTGAAAGGTGAAATTCCTCTTCATCTTCAGCATTTTAGCAGAGGCTTGAAAGTTTTGTGCCAAAAATTGACTGATATTTGGAACTGATCGCAATCCCCTCCACCTTGATTAAAGCCCCATTTCCAGCTGAAAAAATGAGGCCCTAAAGCATAATGCTGCCACCAACATGCTTCATGGTGGGCACGGTGTACTTTTGGTGATGCACAGTATTGTTTTTGCACCAAACATACTTTTTGGAATTATGATGAAAAAGTTCAACCTCAGTCTCATTGGACTATAGCACATTTTCCCACTTGCTTTTATCAGATTTGATGTACATTTTTGCAAAATGAAACCAGGATTGGATATAATATATTGAGGATAGGTTAATAATTTACAAACAGATTTATAGTTTAAAATTTTTGGGAGGGCCTGTTTTGCATCGGGTGAGAACTTACGTAGTAGTAATGTATTAATCAGTATTCCATTAGGGGGGATATGTGTGTGTGTGTGTCACAGCACAAATATATTCCATTATATTCCAGTATTCCATTAGGGGGGATATTGTGTGTGTTGGTCACAGCACAAATATATGATCAATACAAGAGATTATTGTCACACATAGTGGACAACCTATACCTGCCATATTTTCTCCATTTGTTAATGACTTTCTTACTTGGAAATTGTTTTGTACCCTTCTCCTAACTGATACCTTCCAAAAGTGAGATCCTTTTGATGCTCTGTAAGCTCTTTGCAGACCATGGCTGTTGCTGTAAGAGTCAACTGAGTAAATACCAGAAAAATCCTACTGGCACAGCTGAACTTTATGTGGGCTTGATCAGAGTCACTTTAATTAATGACAAGTATGTACAGACTATTATTTACCATCAATTTGAATGTGATTGGTTAATTCTGAACACAACCACATCTCTACTTATAAGAGGGTATGAACACTTATGCAGCCACATTATTCTAGTTTTTTATTTTTATTCCCCACTAAACATATATATATATATATATATATATATATATATATATATATATATATATATATATATATATATATATATATATATATATATATATATATATATATATATATATATATATATATATATATATATATATATATATATATATATATATATATATATATATATATATATATAATTATACTAAAAATGCGAATCCCGGATATATTCATGTTGAGAAAAATAGTCGAACACCTGGATAAATATAAAAACAACTGTTTAATAAACTAATAACTGTTTGATAAACTTAGCTTTCGTCAGCTAACTGGTGACGTCGTCAGAGTGGAATGCCGGAAGTTCGAAAGCCGGCTTATAAGACTGGCAGTTTGTGCGCTCTGCTCATAGAACACGTTACTGGTCTACCCGCCCAATTTGACTGTATTGCTTCTAATAGTCTCGCATCCGTCTGTATACTCGTAAGCTCGGGGATCATCACCTCTCTTGTTGTCGCTCTCTTTGCCCGCTTTGGTTGTATCTGGGTACACGTTGCTATAGGATGGTTCCCCAGTGCCTCCTGTCCTGTGGCCACCCCTCCCCCATTGTGGGTGTGGCACCCCGCCTCCCATCATTGGCTCCTGTATGAATCATGCTGGGGATTTCTCCCCTTTGCTGGTCGTGGTTCTTTGCTGTATATAGAGTGAAATGTAAGGACTGTCACTGCAATTACATTGGGGAGACAACCAAATGGCTTGGAACTAGGATCCATGAACACGAGCTAGCCATCAGACAACATGAGCAACACTCACAGGTGTGGGTCCATATGGCCAGCAACAATCACACGTTCGACCTGGGCGGGGCAAAGGCCATTGCCCAGGATGTCACCAAGGGTGGCCGGTTACTGAAGGAGGCTTGGCTGTCGGATGAGCACTCAATTAATCGCCACATAGAGTTACTGCCTGCTTATCAGGCACTAAAAAAGTGGGAACAACAGCGTAACAACTCACAATGAGTGCAATGGGCACAGCCTACACAAGATCAGAACCGCTGTCTCATGTAACAGCAAAGAACCATGACTGGGGAGAAATCCCCAGCACGATTCGTACAGGAGCCAATGATGGGAGGCGGGGTGCTACACTCATGGGGGGTGGCCACAGGACAGGAGGTACTGGGGGACCATCCTATAGCAATGTGTACCCAGATACATCCAAAGCGGCAAAGAGAGTGACAACAAGAGAGGCGATGATCCCCGAGCTTACGAGTATACAGATGGATGCGAGACTATTAGAAGCAATACGGTCAGCTGGGGCGGGTAGACCAGTAACACGTTCTATGAGCAGAGCGCACAAACTGCCGATCTTATAAGCAGGCTTTTGAACCTCCAGCATTCTACTCTGATGACGTCAGCAGTTAGCCAACGAAAGCTAAGTTTATCAAACAGTTGTTAGTTTATTAAAATTGTTTTTATATTTATCCCGGTGTTCGACTATTTTTCTTTATATATATATATATATATATATATATATATATATATATATATATATATATATATATATATATATATATATATATGNATATATATATATATATATATATATATATATATATATATATATATATATATATATATATATATATATATATATATATATATATAACTGTCAATTTAATACGTTAGAAAAATTAAGAGGACAGAAATAAATGCACATTCTGAAAGATATCATCATCCAGTACTGCCTGAGTGGAATATTATACTTACTGGTAAAATCTGAAAATGTTTAATTTTTTGATGATGACACAATGTAAGTACAAATGCCTTTGGATTACTCTGGCTGTCCCGAAGAAGAAATAATCTACAAAATAACATTGTATGTTACTACCAGATTGACCATATAGTTCTTGTAAACAAACAATTCCACTGCTTTATGATATCAGTACATAATATATTCCATGTCTATTCATAAGTAATCTAATATTTCATTGATAAAAAATAATATAAAGAAAAACTATAGATAAGATCTGATATTCTATGTATGTTCAAGGATACAATATTAATTGTTTGATTTCTTGTGATCTGAACATTAAAGGGATATTGGAGTATTCCAACTCAATAAGCAAGTACATAGTTCATGCAAAGGGTCTAGTTTCAGTCTTGAAAGCTGTGGTATAGATGATCTGAATTGGCAAAGGACAGTTATTACTATTTGTTTTTCCAAGGACCTTATCCTATAGGCATCTTAAGGTGAGCATGATGTAAATTTATTAGTGCATTCATTTCAATGCTTCTACCAGGATTTATAGGCCATAAAATAAACAGTACCTAATTAAATATACCTACCCATCCACAAGACCCTGTTGTTTAATAATCCTGTGTGATTCTTCTCTTGAGATCCGGCCATGAAACCAGTGCTGTGTCCTATGAATAACTGATGAAGAAATGAATGGTTACAGCTGGTGTATTAAAAAATGTGTGTATATTACAGTATGTGTTTTATCCTTGTTTATTATGTTCCTAACTGTAAGATTCAAACTATGATTTCTGGTGATTTATGCTATAAAAATAGAACAAGACAAAAACATAGCATTAATAAAATAAAAAATAATATCACAATGCAGTAATACAAAGTTTGAAATTAGTTCTGAACAACTTGTGACAATTTAATTTGCTTTGAATTGCATTGCATTGAAATGTACCTCTAAACACACACACACACACACACACACACACACACACAGATATGCTTCTTTATATTAAATGTGCCTATATATTGTCCTCTTTTTTTGGAACAACTATAATGATTAAATTTTCTATTACATAACAAATGTTTAGCTATTGTAAACTCCCCAAAGTTATTTTCAGTGAGATGGTGATTATAATTTGATAGTTACATAGACAGAACAGATGTGAGAATCACATAACATTTTTAATCCCATCTCTTATTGACCACTGTTCTTGTTATATCCTTCTGGCCTGCCCTGTTCTATACTTCTAGAAATACTATGAATCTTTTTTTAAGTGTCAAAAAGTATGTATTTAAGGAATTTATGTGGGTGACCAACTCAAACTTTGCAAATCCAGGTGACATGCCACAGACTAAAAACAAAACAAGACAAACAATTTCAATTGATCTTTGAATTGATTTTTGTATTTATATTTATTTATTATTTATTTATTTATTTATTTATTTATTTATTTATTCATTCAATTTTTATCCCGCCCTTCTCCTTACAGACTCAGGGCAGCTGACAGCCTTATAAAACAGATACAACAATAAATACCCAATTTAAAACCTAATTAAAAAGAAATATTTACTATGGCCTATATAATTAAAATTTCTCTTAAAACCCCACTAAAAATTCCCCTAGGCCAATCCCGCTTGTTGGAAGAGCCATGTCTTCAGGGCGCGGCGGAAGGAGGGGAGATCCGGGA